CGAAGTACTTGTACTTCGTTAATTCCCACCACTGGTGGTTACGCTAAGTGAAAGCCTAACTTTTACCAAAAAGAACATGACTTTGTTGCCTCGTTAGATTCTAAATGCACTTTTTAGGTTGCAGGTTAAACTCATATTAAATTCCATCAATACGACAGAACTCCTACACCTGCTCACCAGTTCCTCGACGTTCTTTCTCAACAAGTTTATTACACATTTGGGATATTTTCTTAAAACCCCTCTCTGTTTTATCACCCTTATTAGGTGCTGATCCTCTATAGTGCCTCCTAAATCCCAGGCAGAGGATTTGCTTGATGAGATGAGAGGGAAAAAAAAGAAAAAAAGAAAGAAAGCGAAAGCTCTCCCCAGTCATTTTCCTCCATTTTATTTCACCGTGCAGGGCTGAAAGCTGCATGCATGTGCTTGTGTGGGTGTGAAGTGACTGGAGGGACATCTCCATCCACCCAGATCTGTGCTTTTCCTTGTCTTTCATTTCCTCTGTGGCTCCTGCTTTGCCGTACAAGTGTGATTTGGTGACTTCGATAGGCGTGCGTGCGTGTGCGTGCATGTGCGCGTGTGTGCATGCGTGTGTGTGTGTGTGGAGTCTCTGCACAGTGCTGGGTTGAGACGCAACATTAATCACCGCCGATGGCTGCTATGAAATCTCATTACCCTCATCATTTGTACCAGTCGGCCCGATTCTCGTTTTCACGCCTCGGCCTGAGCGCTCGCTGTTTATCTGCACCTAGAGCTCTCGTGTGCTCGTGTGTACGAGGGTTGTGCATGTGCTGCCGTTAGACGGAGCCACAGAATCCGAGGGGTGAGAGGATGGCGGGGGATGGGGGTGTGGGGGACGGAGGGAGGGCTCAGCCATTTCTGCAGTGAATAAACACAGACGATTCGCAGATAAATAGCCGTGAATACTGAAAGTGCCTCCAACAAGGTGTTTTCATAACAGCACCACAGGAGGTCCTGACATTCAAGGCAGCAGCCATGTAGAATGAGCGAGCACGCTGCGCTGTCATGCTTTAACATGCTTACACGTCTCTGTAGGCTGCCAATCCTGCGAGCAACAACAATCCAGCAATGAAAGCATATAAGTAAATGTTTTCTTTTTTATTTTTAGTATTATTTGCACTGCAGAGACTGTGAAAAGTTTACACACCCCTGATCTGATATTGGAAAATTACATCTTTTTTTTTTTTTTTTTTACATTTAGCATGACGTCTGTTCTGTAATATTTAGCCAAAGCACTATTTTATTAGAAGAAAAAGTAAAAATAAATAAATAAAACTTACTGTGATAACCTGGTAGCATAAGTAGCCACATTTTAAGCAAACATGCTGATTGAGTTTCATTGCCAGTTCAACTTTGCCAATATTTTCCAAATCTACCCGACTGTTGGGAAATCTCCTGTTCACAGTCTTCCATGAGTGAGCTGGGAGACCTTCTGCCAGATTTGGTTTTGGAAATTTTGGCTACAATTTTCTCAATTTGTTGAGTTGCGTTCGAGCTGTGACTCAGTGTGATGCCGGATAAAGACATTCCTCTTCATACTCATGTATTGAACAGTCACCTACAAGCTCAGGGTCAAAACTAACTAGAATTAAGAGGTGAAGATAATTTCATGACATAAACACCCCATTTCGAACTGAGCAACAACAACAACAGAAATAATTCAGATCATCAGTCTACAGAGGGTCTGGTGTTCTTTAGGTGATGCATAGTGTTATTTTTTCAATGTCAAACATACCTTGTAGAAAAGTCTTGGTTTTGCCTTCTCCTGACTGATACCTTTGAACATTAGATCCCTTTTATTTTATTTTTTTCAACCTCTCTGAATACGATGGTGTAGTCAAAGGATGCAAATGAGTATCTAATAAGACTAAATATTGCAGTCCAAACCAAAGGTCCAAAAAAGTGTTTGTCTAACGATTCCTGTTTTATTTTCCTCTCCAAACTGTTTTGTTTTCCAGTTGAATTTGTTTGAATTGTACAGTATTTATGTCACATTAAAAAAAAACAAAAATAAATAAAAAAGTTTTGAAATGATTTCACGCAATCATGCCTTTTTTCATTGAGAATCTGCTGTATGTCTCACTTGCTGCTTGTTTCACACATGAGTCTTGTTACATCCATTCTGCAATTACGATCAGCTCCACAATGAATCTATGCATAATAGGACTTACGCCAGACTCTCCTTTAGCAACAGCAGACTGTCAAGAACCTCCCATGCACATGGATTTGTAGCCTAACCTGCGGTTTTGAATTGAATTTTAGGGAGTTTTTATGTGCAGCAGAGCATCGTAGTAGGTTTGAGGGGGATTGGTAGGTAGATAACCGAGACATTTGACAATAACAAAAAATATCAGAACGAAAATCAATACAATGACCCTTTCCTACAGCTTCAACATCAGCAGCTGACTTCAATCAGCCTCGCTGAAACACGGTCAACAAAAAGTGAGCACCGAGGGGCTTTATGAGGTTACCATTTATTACTGTGATCTTATTAGATTACACAGCTGCTGCTTTTATCATGTTCTCTGCTTTTATCAGTTAAGTCTGTCGGTCTCATGTCGTTTCAAGGTTTATATAACTTCAGACGAGGGGACTTAAGCAAACGGCTGAGCGACAAATAAATACACGGTGGATCCGCCGTAGGTCTACTGCGTTGTTTCGACGCCGCACCTGTCACAGAGGCGCCCTCCTCGGCAGCAGCAGCGGCGGCAAACGATGAGGAAGACAGAGATGCTGACCAGCGTTCCTACCAGAAAGGCAGAGAGGATCACCAGGAGGAGCACGTGGCCATCCGGCTGCTCCTCAGGCTCAAGTGGGATCTCCTGAGGTAAAAACACAAAAAAAAAGGTACGGAGATGTTAAAATGACATGTTTGCCTTTTATAGGGTTAGACAATGCTTCTTGTCTGAAACAAAAACAACTTTAGGGGGAAAAAGTCTATGTTTTCAGTAAAGTCACGCGTTAGCAAGCGCAGCAGCTTGTGAATCCTTGCTGTTGCCGGTTAAAATTGTGTCGATTCATATTTTTCAGCATCACGGGTCTTTGTAGCAAACTGTCGCTTTAGGCCTGTACGTTGCTTTTTGGGGTTTTTAAACAGATTGCACTTGGTGTTTGGACTGATAAGCTGCTAGGGGCTTGAGGAGCTCTTCCACTATGAGGCAACATGATACCGACAAAAAATAAAATAAAAATAGCCGTTCTAGAGTATTATCGCATAAAAACTTTAAATGACACAACATAATTTCTTTGGCTTAAACCAGAAAATCAACAGATGTTCCTACTGTTGCTTAAATAATATTAGGGCATATTGATTATAACAGGTATAATAATGTTACATATGACAGTTGTTTTTTTTTTTTTTGGGTGGGTCGTTATCTTCACATTATTTTTTTTTATCAACGTTATTTTGTGCACACCATCAGGGAACAAAACCTACAGCTCTTCCTGCTTCGAGCACTGACAGTGCGCCATTCAGATTAATGAAAAGAAAATTAGTGTCACATTAAAACGGTTACAAAAGACGAGTTTCATCATCTGGAGAACATTGCCAGAGCGCAGCTCCGGCACAAAAAAGGCGAGATTCTTCTAAAATGCAGAAGAGGAGCAGAAAGAGAGCTCACCTCGAGCTGGCATTTAAAAACTCTGCTCAGGCTGCTTGTGTATTTTAGTATTATAGGGAGGTGTTTTATAGTTTACTGAAGGTTTTAATATGTTATAGGTCTGACCTACTACTTTTAGAAGCCCTCTAGGCTTCTGATGTCTTCAGAGAAAGTTCCTCTCTGACTGCTTATAATTAAATCTGAAACTCACAGTGAGTCGTCATTCGTTACATACAGACATTTTGGAACAACTTTCCCACAGACCTGGGCAGAGCTTTAGAGTGCTTATGTCTTTAAAAGCAATTTAAAGACTTTTTATCCTTGCTTTTGGTTATAGTTTTGTAATTATGTTTAGTGTATTGCAGTAGTTGATTACATTTTAGCTTACTGGATGATTATTCGGCTCTATTGCATTTTTAATTTGAATTCACTGCCTTTGCCTCATGAAAAAAAAAATATATATTTTTTTAGAATGCCATTGTTTGTATATAGATTATCCTTTTGCAATGTCCTATAAGCAGTGTTCTGTAAGCAGTGCATATTTTTATATGCAAAAGATAACTTTCTGGATGTTCTCTGGAATAACTGAACTCGTTTCACCCACCAAAGCTAAACTATGCTTTCATATTTTAGCTAGCCAGCTAGGAGCAACCGTGTAGCTTTGCTATTTTCTGCAAAGTAAGCTAGAAGGTGACAAACAGATGCTAACCTTCAACTTGGACAAAACTGTTTACTTTGCAACGTGATAAGCTTTAACAATAGAGCCGATTTATGGCTGCTTCCCACATAACAGCAGCACCATGCAGTTTGAAAGATTGATTTTTAAGCCCACCGGTTGGTTGGCTTGCATAAACTAAATCTATGTATACAACTCTCTGAATGATCAATAAAGTCCAGGAACTATTAACCTGTCTAAGATTCACATTAGCAATGGGAGAAGAAGGAGTACAGCTGAGGGCGTAGTCCACACACGAGCAGCACAGGTGGATGCCGCAATCAGAAGTTTTTTTTTGTTGTTTGTTTGTTTGTTTCAAACATGTTTAAAGAAGGAAGACAAAACACTTCCAGTTTAAACCCGAAATCATTGTGGTGTTTTAATTACTTTCCTCAGTGGACTGCACTAAAACCGGAGTTCTCTATGCCACACTCAATGTCTGGATAAGTGCAGTAAAATACTTTAATACAGATGTCCAAATGTGCCCATAAAAAGCAGAGACATCATAAAACCGATACATTTTTCAAATACTCAGCACTCATGCTGAATTCTGAAGTCTAAAGGACACACAAGATCTAAAGTAAGAACAGTCAGAGTGTAGATAAAGCAAAGCTGCATGCGCTAAAGAATCTACCAAGACAAGTTAGCCACTAAGGTTGTTTTTCGCATCTTATGCAACATTTCCTCTTTGTCAGTAAGTTGCTCAGCACAGCTCTGAGGTTTAATGTCCCCAGAATCATGACAAAGTAAGAGAAATGTGAAGAAAAAAAAATAATTAATTACTCCTGTATTGTTCTTGTGGTATTCTGCAGAAAGCCGCAGCATAAAGTAGGTCGTTACTTCAGCAGTTATGAGAAAGACTTCCCAACATGATTATAGGTCACAGCTAATAAAAAACTGAAATTCAGTTTCTCGGAAAATTTACGAAACAATTCATTATTATTATTATTATTTTTTTCTTTTAACAGAAATGCATGAACTCAGTATGTGCACTCAATATTCGGTCGGGAGCTCTTTTGCATAAATTGCAGAAGTGGTACCTTTGGCAGTATACGGGCAGGCATTAAGTTCTGCTAGAAAATGAAATCTACCATTTCATTTCAAGAGCTTCTACTAAGGAGAGGGAAGCATGAATGCAATAAACTTTCCTGGTAGATGGCTAAAGGTGAGAAAACCTCAGTGAACCAACACCAGCAGATAACATGGCTTTCTAAACGATCACTGACTGTGGAAACGTCACACTGGACCTAAAGAAACTATGATTCTGAGGCTCGCCGCTCTTCTTCCGGACTGTGGGGCATTGGGAATGCTCCCACGGTAGAATGACAAATTTTCTTTCATCTGAAAATTGGACTTTGGACCGCCGAGCAACAGTTCACACATTTTCCTTTATAGCCGAGGTGAGATGCTTATGTCACTGACTCTGGTTCAGGAAATGCAACAGCTGTAGCTCAGGCCCTGGATACTGTATGTCTGAGTGTGGTGGCCCTTGAAGTGCTGACTGGAGCTTAAATCTATTTCTTGTCAATCTCAAGTTTCTTTTGCACCGTACTTTTTCCTTCCCAATAAAATTCTTGTCTTCTGTCTCCCTTATCATTTGTTTATGCTATAACATGACTATTAAATAACATTTTTGTATGAAAGACGCCGGTCTATTGATTTTATGTAATATTCAAAACGGACTTTAGTTGTTTTTATTATTATTATTATTATTATTATTATTATTATTATTATTATTATTATTATTATTATTAATTACCTATGTCAGCATTCTTTAAAAATGAACAGAAAGAATTGTCAAAATGTACCACTGGGTGTGCAGATAAATTACTTAAGGGTTTCAATTTTTGATTTAGAAAACAAAAGTCTCACTTTTTAAATGATGTTTTCATTATTGAGGTCCACCTGTGTAAACATGGCAGACTTCTGCATATCAGACTGACAATCTTTGAGCTCCGCAATAGACAACACAACAAGTGTTGATGTCTACTACCCTCTGACGTCACGCCATAATTTCTCTGCAAAGGGAAATTAAAGCTGAGATTAGATCAGAGATTTAATTATACCAGACCCAGGTCAGGATGTTCTCTATTAGCCAGTCAATCGACCAGAAGAGAATATGAGGGGAAAGTATGGCTCTGGTGGTGATCTGCACGCAACACACACACGCACACACACGCATTTAACAGGAAGTTTGAAAACAAAGTCAGTGGTGAAAAGCAGACTTACTGTGGAGTTTTCTGGTAGGATGTTCCAGACGGTAGACTTATTGCTCATGGTCCTGGCCAGCTAAAGAGTCCCCCTGAGAGACAACACAAGCACACAAAAGCACAAAGGAAGCGCCTGTCACTGGAGCCGTTTATCAAATCACAAAGTTAGTCACCAAATGTGCTGTTTTGTCCAGGGGAATAAACCCAGGCATGTCAGCCAAGGGCAAGCTGACAGAATGGTGTTCATTAGCTCCCTAGAACGTAACTGGGTGCTATAATTTGTTGGTTTTAAGGGCAGCTGAAAGCGAAATCTATCCTGGAAACTAGAGGGACACTGCAAGAAAAAAAAGGGGGACAGAATCGGCTAAATATCTGGGTTTTCGGAAATGCCCAGGCATTGAAATGGCTTTTGCAAATTGAAGCATTAACTCCTCGGCTGTACGCCACCACGCATAGTTGTGGATCAGCCTGACAACTGGATCTATTCCCCCGTATATCCTCTCGCACAACAGATAGAAACATCAGTTCTTTCAGCACTGCTGCCTTGTATTTGCTCTTCCAGATCACACCCTTTAATACTGCTACTGCTGCATCAAACACCCACACATATATACACACACACACACACACACACACGTACAGATGAAGCTACTCACCAGCGAGGAAGAAGCAACATGCCAGCAGCATTCAGCTCTTCTTGCTTGCCAGTCAATCACTGCAGCACTCAACTTCAGCAACACAAGCTTTAATCTGTTACCTAGTTCCCATCTGACTTCCATACACTTGTAAGCCATCTAAGAAAGAATGGTTTGCTTTGCAGTATATTGCTGCACCACATCCTGCTTTCTGCCAGCCCAGTGATCTTACCCTGATGGAGGGCAGCGCGCAGCAGCAGCAGCAGCAGCAGCAACAGCAGCAGCAGCAGCAGCTCTGGATTTGTGTGTGTGTGTGTGCGTGTGAGTGAGTGAGTTAGGCTGTATAGCTCAGGACTCTCCTCCTCAGCTCCCTTGCTGCATCCTCAGCCGACTGAGCCAGAGCAGCAGTGCTTCCCCCTCAGGACCGGCCCGCTGGCCTTGGAGCAACGGGACGAAAGCGCTGCATGGCTGGCAACAGGCAAACAAATAAGAGAATTATTATGTTATTACACTATTGACATGATTCAGTTACCCGCATTCAACAAATACAGTAAGATCGTTTTGAAGATTTATTTTATTTCTCCTAACTTAGTGGAGGGTTGGAACTGGTTCAGCTCTGGCTATGATTGGCTAATTAAATACTAAAAAAAAAAAATGTTGTTTTATTATTATTTATGTGCAATAAATGAATGAGAAGTAATAACTTGCTCTTTTTAATCTATCACGCACCTACCAACAGCAAGTATTGTTGATACTTTTCCTAGTTTAATAACAAACACAAAGATTAAGGATATAGACTTTGATGTGAAAATTAGAGCAACTGTATTTTTTTATTTCTTTTCTTTTTTATAGCCCTGGTTGTCGAAGCAGAAATTGCGATTGGTTGAAGCCTAAATCTTCCGGCCAATGAAAAATTGGTATATCGGACAAGAAACTGATGATTGGTGCATCACCGTGTGAAGGAACGAAAACTGCTTTAAGAGCAGGATGATAACGATAACAGTAACTTTCGTCACTTGGTCTAAATGGTTACATGAAAATTATAGATATTCACTAGTGCAGAATCTGGTGGAGCTGTGATAAACGTGAGCTGTGACACGAGTTTGCAAAAGAACTGTCAGGTTTCGCCGTGTTGTTAAGCCCTGGAAATAGCCTCTGCTGACTAGCAGCCAAAGCAGATGGTGAGACACGGGTGACCCAGCAATGCCGTATCCTTTCACGCTTAAAATCTCAATTCCTACCAGCTGCATTACCGGTATCACACAGCGCAGCTTTCACAGCGCGTTTAGATTTTGTTCCGTCTTTTAGCGCCAATTATCTTCACGCCTCCAACAAAGTAAGAAACATATATAGCACCAAGATTTGAAGGAGGGGGGGGGGAATACATAAAAATGCTCGATTTCTTTGTGGAGAAAAACTGATTGAGGTTTTTTTTTCTTCTTCTTCTGATTTTCATTTCTGAAAGAATGCAGACTGATCCCGTGTGTTTTTGCTTTGAAAATGAATGGAAAACATCAATTTGTGTAAAACATACAAAATAATAATAATAAAAAAATGCACAATGGATGCAGCGAGGCATCTTGATATTTCACTGGCGCCTTTGATTTTTATCTGTCCGGCGTTTGGCAAAGCTTGAGCGAAGGCAGCGGCACGGCTCACGATCTAAACTGGCTGCACACACACATAAACACACACACACGCACGCACACACACACAGACACACACAAAGCGGCTACGGGCACCACTCACCTACTCGACCAGCCTGGTCCATACGGGAGGTGGAGGGGTCGAAGGCAGCAACACAAAACACTCCTGTGAGCACTTCAATGTGTTCTTTATAAAGCTAAAAAAAAAGTATTTATGAATGAAACGCCACCGTTTGGGACACGCCCACCGCCCCGTCAGAGGCGCACCACGTGACGTAGGGAGTGAGGTAACTGGAGTGAGGGATGAAGGATCTCTCAAATTATCCCGAAGCGCATCACAGCTGGAGCACAGCCAGAGGAAAGCCTGGGAGGCTGAACTATATGTAGAACAGTATATTTAACACACCTTATTCATAGCGAAGGAATTGTTGCTATTCTTTTTTCTTTTTTTTTCTTTTTTTTATCCCCTTTCATTTGTTTTACACATGTAAGCAAAGCCTTTAGATTATTTGGAACAATAAGATAAAAGTATGACTTTTTTTCCCCTCATTTTAGTAAATCAAATCATGCTCCAATATCTGCCAACTCAACCATGTTTCTTAATTATAAAACAATAACCTTGTGGGTCCATGGTTTGCATTGTCAACAAAGGAATTCTGGCGCCATCTCCTGGCAGCGACAGGCTATGATTTTACTGTGTCCATAATGGCTTTTGGGTTGAGGATCTCTGCAGGTTCTTCAGTTACCGCAGGGCTTCTTAGTTCCTTTATTTGACCGGTCGATTTAAATGGATATGCCTGACTCTTGGTAGATTCGCTGTTGCAAATTAATATGCATTTCATTTGCAATATATAATGCAAATGAAATATATATTGCAAATATATAAACATTGTTCTTTTACTCTGTGAACTACTGACAACATGTCTTCAAAATTCCAAGCAAACATTTAGTATGTATTTACAGAAAATGAGAAATGGTCAAAATAACAAAAAAGATGCAATGCTTTCATACCTCAAGTAATGCAAAGAAAACAAGTTCATATTAATTTAGAAACAACAATACTAATGTTTTACTTCAGGAAGGGTCGGGAAATCAATATTTGGTGGAATGACTATGAGGTTTTCAACGGGGTTCAGTACAGTGGTCTCTTAATTTTGTTTTTCCAGAGCTAAATATTGTTTTTGAGGAATTTAAGAAACTACACTACCCAACGTTCTTTGCGTCTTTGCGCGAGCACAAAGCCTTATGGGTAACCCGAAACGTCCTTGTCCTTGCGCACATCGACTGCCTTCACGCCTGGGCCGGGGATTTTCTTGTCATTCACCTGTACTTGAATAGAATAAAAACTTCCAAACATGATGGCTGCCAGGTTTCTCCGCCGTGCTCTCCCTGCGTTGAGGCAAGCTCGCTCCTACGCTGAAGCCGCCTCCGGTGTCCCGCATATGTCCTTCACTTTCGCCTCTCCGACACAGGTATTGCTTGTCGATATTAGCGAGGCTCAAGGCCTAGCTTAGCCTGTCTGCTATTTACAGCACTTTTTTGCAGTTAAAACGCATTGTCGCCGGTTGCTAACCTGTATGTCCTTGGTGGTGTGCAGATTTGAGCAATTGGACACGTTTGTTGCCATTGCATCAGATGTAGAATACGTCAAAAACACAGCTTAGGTCAAAGTTAGCATTGTGATGGGGATAGCTTCGATAGCTAACCTGGCTGTCATTCAGTGGCTTTAGTCAGTTCTGTGTCATTTGTCTTTAAAAAATATCACTGAAGAACCCTTTCTATTAATTTAACCAACTTATTTTTTTTACCTGTTTTCCCCCCAAAAATGTTGACCCTAAATACTTATCTTTATTTCACTGATGTGATTAACCTTAACCTACATAAAAAAAATGCTTATTGATAAACCGTAACCTTGAAGTTCATATATATATATATATATATATATATATATATATATATACAGTTTTTTTTTGACTTAGCTTGAAGTTAGAATGTAAAAAAAAATGCATTAACATTGTTTTACATTTAAATCTCGTTCTGAAGTGTGATTGTGCTCAATCTCTTACAGTTTGATTTGGGAAATCAAATCAGAATCTACTCGTATAATTAAAACATTTGTTAATAGGACTTTACGCTTGACAAAGTTAAGCTCATATTGCTGATTTTCGATATGTCAAAAAAGGAAAAAAAACGTAATTCTCTGCATAGGATTTAAAGTAGTCTTCAAACCAGTTGTGTTTATTTGACACTTACGATTTGTTTGTACTTTTCTTTAGTGTTTTTCCTTTTCTTCATTATAAGCCTCTTACTAAGAAGGAAGGGAATCACTGAGATCTAAGATCTCTTCTTCAGGAGTGTCCTGGCCAGATGGGCAGCAGCACAAAAGACGGTTTCAAAACGCTTGACATGCAGCAACCGAGACACTAAAGATAAGACTAAAATTGCCATAAATGTCTAAAAATGAGATCAAACTTGGCAAAAGCATCTGCAATCTGGTGTGGATGATTTCAGGAGAAACAGAGGTAGACATAAAAAAAATAGAGATCACAAATAATAAAAGGTAAATAATAGTAAATAATACGGTATTGTGGAAAAAAAATAAAAAATAAAACATCTGACAGAAACAAATGTTGTTTTATATGTGCGTCTTCTCTCCCAGGTGTTCTTCCAAGAGGCCAGTGTGAGACAGGTTGACGTCCCCACACTTACCGGTGCGTTCGGTATCCTCCCGGCTCACGTGCCCACCCTGCAGGTGCTCAGGCCCGGTGTCGTCACAGTCTTTAATGACGACGGCTCCTCTGCCAAATACTTTGGTAAGATCTTACTCTGTTGCTATTACACAAGCACTGTTGTCTGTATCATAAACATGTACATCAAACTGTGGCAAAACGTGGAATTTGATTACAATGTTAGGAACGTACTTAGGGATTTATATTTAAACCCCAAATTTAAGCAGTTTGAATTTAAATGAACAAATGTGCATTTCAAAACTGTGATATTCCACTGTCAATATGTTGCATGCATAAATCTGGGTTAGCATATCTAAAGCCTGTCCACAGTAAAAATGTTAACGTTTTAAAAAACGATTTGTCCTCTCACAGATTGCCTCTAGTATTTTCTTTCTCACTTAAATTTTTCAAGTCATCAAACTAATTTTAATACCTGAAAAGAGTAGCTTGCATATGTACAGTCTTATATACTCGCTTTATTTATTCATTAAAAATGGCTTTCAAAAACATTTATATAATAATTTAATCGAAAAGTCAGAGGACTTTTTTTTTTTTTTAAGGTTTTGTTGGCTCTAGTGGCCTTTATTTTAAAGTAGTTTGACAGGAAAGAGGACAATGAGAAAGGGGGGGAAGACATGCGGCAAATGTCACCAGGCCGGGAATCGAACCTGCGACCACCGGCATGAAGACTAAGGCCTCAATACATTGGTTGTGCTTTGCCCCTGCGCCTCCACAGCACCCCCAATAAGACAGAGGGCTTAGTTTATCATCATAATTTTTGCAATCAAAGAACACATTTCTGGAGAAGAGTGAAGCTTAACAGTCTGCTCCTAAGGAGTTTAGTTTATAAGCACTGCCACAATAAATGTGTCTCTAACTTATTTACAATTGACATGAATATTAGGAGCTGGTTGTTGTGAAAAAGAGTCATATTTTATAATAATCTTTTTTACTTTATTGGTTAAAAAAACTGATTGTAGACACACTGTCCCACCAAATGTTCCATTTTATTGAAAACATTTGGTGGGACAGTGTGTCTACCATCAACCATTAATAAAGGTCATTGGTGGTGTAGCAAGGACCGCACTAGCCCCACTAGTTCCACTAAATTTGATTGACATGTACACCAGACCTTGACAGATGCACAATTTCAATATAAGACAAACATGAATTGTGGTTGTTGTTTCTGTCCATCCGTGATATGTGTGAAAACTGACCACCGCTGGTTTGATGACGTCTCAAAGCCTTAAGATCTTCACTATCCCTCTCCGGACAGATGCTTGTCAAAAACGCATAACCAAAACAAATCTGTTCATTGCAATTACCTTGTCCTGGCATGGCATCTTACATTTACATTTCACTGTAAACTTTTATATGTCTTTTGCACTGAGTACTATGCTAATTGAATCATGGAAAAGCAAAAACTTTGTGAGCATTGTGTAGGAATCCTGTTAAACTCCATTAGACCACATGCCTTTGGGCATGTACTGCTCTTTTTATCATGCACACATCTAGAATCACACATTTATAAGTGCTTACAAAAAGACACTGTGTATGTTTTTGCAGTGAGTAGCGGGTCAGTGACGGTCAATGCTGATTCTTCAGTGCAGCTGCTTGCTGAGGAGGCTGTTCCCCTGGACCAGCTGGACGTAGCAGTGAGTATAAACTCTGCCGTATTGCTCACCTGTGCTGTGAGGTGTTAATTAAATTAATACACTAGATTTAAAAACTATTTTCTCTGCTATTCTGCAATTCCACCTCAGTTTATTCCACTTTGCGTGCCTTGTTATGCCCATTATGGCACATTTCTCTAAAGTTTTTTCACTTAACATTTTGTATTTATGTCTGCGCTCAATAAATCTTTACGGTTACAACATACTAGCTCACATCTCATTCACAGCTTACTTCTTGTCATAGAGGCAACTGGAAAAAGACATGATTTTACAATTAAAGCTAAATGTTTAATGAGCATTTTGCAGTTGATTTTAGAAGCTCAGACACATATATTGTCTGAAGTTTGTTGGATTTTCCGGGTAACATTTAGGTAATGGCAGTTTTCAAAATGCCAACATAAATCAAGTCAAAACGTATGGCTTCTGTTTATCAAATTAAATTGTTAGGCGTTTTATATAACAATTTAGGCATTCTTTTGGTGGTCAGTAAATTTTTACCAGAGTTAGAAGATTAATGGAATAAGAATAAGGAAGTTGGTTAGGAAAAATCAAAATTTGGCAATTTCTAATGTCAAATTTGCCGACATTTGAAAACTAATGTCAGGAAATTTGACAACAACAAAAAAAAAACCTGGAAGTTTGTGTGTAAATTGAATATTTAGTGCTTTTAAAGCTACCAAAACCCACAAAATGCCATGAGGAGAGTTTGCTGTGTTGTGCCATCGGTTACTCATTCACAATTGGCATCAATTGGGTCAGCTTTTTTTTTTTCCTTTACATCAATTGTTCTGTCCTCTTGAGCTCTTTGTAAAAGGTCATCTGTCCCTGCAGTCTCAGA